ATATATATATATATATATATGTATGTATCTTCATAGTTTACAAAGTATGCTCACTTTGGCCTTCTAATGGTCATGTAAAATCAAGCTTTCTACAAATGATAAATCAAACTCATCAATGTAAAGTGACTTACCCAAGGTCACATAATTAGTAAATGACAGAGCTAAATCATAAACCCAGATATTCTGTCTCCAAGTCCAGTGCTTTTTCCTCTATATCTATAAATTTCCTCTTGAAAATGTGGTAGTGTATATATACTATGTTGTTTTAATCATAAACTCATAGTTTCCTTTTTATTCTTCATGTTTTACCCTTTTAAATGTTTAGATTTCATTAAAATATTTCATTATCATTAGATTACATTTTACAATTTGTATATAAGTTTAGAATAGCTTTTATGTTTATAAAATGTTTATTTATATTGGGGATAAGAATATATAACCATCCCTCCTCCCAAAGTACCTTCTGACTTACTATTCACAAAATTGAAACAAATCACTAACCACACATCAGCAATCCTAGAGTAATCAGAGGTGCTGCAGTTGCTTCTGAAGCAAAGCCAGATGTGAAATAGATGCAGCACCACCAGAGTTACAGATCACTGATATCAGGTAAGTGCTTTAACTTTGATTGGCTTTGGAATGGGATGGGTGGAGCTGGTCTAGGAGAGGATATTAGGAGACTTCAGTTTCCTCAAGTAATTTCACCCCAGACTCCTATCAGACCCTCCCGGCTCAGCTTCCACCATCCTTATCAAAGTTTAAAGCACTTACCTGATATTTGAACCTGAAACTCCAGCACTGCTGCACTACATCTGTTTTACTTCCAGTTTGTCAAGTAGGTACAGGTACAGAACCTGCTGCATCACCTGTAGCTCACAGTGTTGTACCACAGTAGATGTCAGCTGCCAAAACTAAAAATATTCAAGCTTAATTTTGTTAAGAACTTATTTCAAAAATGATTTTTCAACATTAATAGCTTCATTTTAGTTACTTACCATTTGGATAGGGTGTTTCACATAAAGTTAGAAATTCAACAATAGGATGATCCATTTCAAGTACTGTAATTGCTTTTCCATGCATGATGGTTAAACTTGGTCTTCTGCAAGCTTTGTCATAGGACAATCCACCAGAAAATATTATAAACGGTTCACTATATAGGGAAAAAAAAGTTAGTAAGACTGAGAAATCCTTTAAGATGACATAATGTCACAGGACTGAGCTGATGAAGAAAAGGCTTTGTGGGGAGTATCTAATTTGTAATTACACAGAGAGCAAAAGTATTTCCTGGCCCAAAACATCACCCAACAATCTTAAGGTGTTGAGGTAGGGAGAGGGAAAAGCAGTGAAGTTGGAGGGAGGTGGAGGTGTTTACTGACTCAAATAAACATTTTCACATATAGTCTTAGTTGGTTCCCAAACTCTTAATCCCTACCATTAGACTATTAGGCTGTTAGTTTATCATATTAACCATCTGGCATTGGGGCCCCAAATTCTTAAGAGGTAAAGGAGGCGAATTTCTATATGAAATAAAATGTGATAGTGGCAAACCCAGAATGGTAGAAGGTAATGTGAAATTTCTATATAATGAAGTTTGTGTGGAAAAGGGTTTTGATAAAAACATGGAGAAAACTAATATGTAAGAGAAAAATAATTCACCAAAGATAAATGTGATCTTGTTCTCAATTTTACCTAGGACCTGCCAGTTCTATTTAGCTTATAAAATTAACTTAAAACAAATTTTTTAGACACTGTTATTTACAAGATACAATTAGATAATAAAGTGGGATTGAGATGGCTATAAAATAGTATAACTGTTAGAAAGTTATGAAACAGCTTCATAATTTTACAGTTTCTTGATTTAATACCCATATCTCTAGTATATGTATAGAAAAATAAGTCTTGATATAAAGCATTTTCTTTTTCTTCCTAGAGATATATTTTTATTTATTTTTATTTTTTATTACATTTATTGAGATGACATTGGTTAATAAATTATATAGGTTTCAAGTGTACAATTCAATAATATGTCATATGTATATTGCATTGTGTGTTCACCCAAAGTTAAATTTCCTTCTGTCTCCATATATTTGACCCCCTTCATTCTTATATACCTCTCCTGCCTTTCCCTCTGGTAACCACTAAACTGTTGCCTATGAGTTGTTTGTCTTGTTCATTTGCTTTCAGGTTTATATCCCATAGATGAGTGAAATCATAAGATTCTCAACTTTTCTGACTTATTTCACTAAAGTATTTTCAATAAGTAAATAACTGAAAATATGTACAAAAAAATTTTTTAAACCATACGCTTTTATTGTACCAAAATCTTTGAGAATATATGGTTCTAAATAATTCATTTCCATCCTTCCACTAAACTGAAGGATCTACTTGTTTCTAGAAATCACTCTATTCAGATTTTCCTCCCTCTTTCATTCTGTACTGCCCATAGTACCAAACATTGCCAATGGAATATTTGCTGATTTTATGCTGGTTAAATAACCACAACAACAACAAAATCATTTTAAAAGTTGCCATCAAAATCTACATATAAAATGCCTGTATTAATTTATGTATATTCTGTCTCAATATTTTGACATAAATATTTTATTTGTAAGCTACATAAGCAAAAATGCTCTAATTTATTTTCTTTTAGTCCTGCATCATTTGACTTGAGTTAGTCTTGCCGCAGTAATCTGACATAAAAAATAACCTAATAATGATGGTATTAAGAAACAATTTTGTGAAGTTTTTTCTACCCCTGGACTCACACCGGCAGCAGACTTCTACTCATGACTTTATACTCTGAAATATGGCAGCATGAGAGAGGTCCCCAGATCACTCCCCTTGAAACAACAATAAGCTGAACATCTAAAACTCAACAAAAAACACCCAAACTTCACACTAGCATGTCTGAGCGTGGGATCTGCGCATAAGAGCTACCACATGTCAGAACCCCGGGTATTGGGCGGTAGACTGGAAGAAATAAAGAAGCAGCCTCTTGCAGCCCCCGGAGCTCCCTGAAGGAGGAGGGGGAAGGGTAAATGTGCGGGAACTTCCCTGAACCGCCCTGCCTGGGACTGCTGTGAGTTCCACGCAGCCAGCAGTAGGGCCTAGTCATCAGGGCAGAAAGCATAGAAGCAGAACAGCAGAGAAACAACAGTTGATTTTTACCAGCTGCGGTTGCAAAACCGAGGCTGAGCCTCAGCCCCCAACTCCCAACCCAGAGGGCCCCTCACCCCATACCCTCCAAGACCAAACACCGCAGAGACCTAGGGGAATCTGAGCAAATGCTACTGAAATTGTTGCTAATACTGACAAGGACTGAAACTGAGGGTAGCAAGCCTGATTAAATATCTATGAGAAAATAAAAAGGTATTTGTAAGGCTTTATATAAAGCAGAGATCCAAGAGGTTTAGACGCCACCTACTGGAAACCAAAACAAAAGCACCTTCTTTGCAGCAGGCTAAAGAGAGACCCTTATATAATAAATCTTCTTTCTGGAAAAAGAGCAGAATATATTTCCATTAATTCCCAGGTGGAGAAATAGTCCATTAAATACCATGAACAACCAAGGTGACAAGGCAGCTCAGAAAGAAAGAGGAAAATCTCCAGAAAATAAGCTTATAGAAATAGAAATATGCAACTTAAATGACAGAGAATTCAGGATGGTACTTCTGAAAAAAATCAGTGATTTCCGAAACGAGTCATATCAACAATTTCAGGAATTGAAAAAACATCTAGATGAGCAGAACAAGAAGATTGAAACCCTCAAAAAGAACAGAATAGATCTTCTGGAGATTAAAACAAACAAACAAACAAAAAACGAAAACAGCAACAACAAAAAAACACTGCAAAAGCTGGAAAATGAAATAGCAAGCTTGGGAAATAGAATTGATCAAATAGAGGAAAGGATCATTGATATCGAAGACAGAAATCTAGAAATAAATCAGAAGGAAGAAGAGAGAAACCAAAAAATGAAAAATAATGAAAGAGAAATACAAGAACTACCTGATACCATCAGGAGAGGAAACATAAGAATAATGGGCATTAGTGATGGCAAGGAAAAGGAGCAGAGGCTGGAAAGCATTTTCAGACAAATAGTGGACGAGAATTTCCCAAATCTAAGGAATAAGCTGGAGCTTGGAATTCAAGAAGTCAACAGAACACCCAATTACCTCAACCCAAAAAGGCCTTCACCAAGACACATTGTATTAAAGTTATCAAAAATCAACGACAAAGACAGAATTATCACGGGCGCCCACG